TGCAACCTCCACCTCCTGGGTTCGAGCGATTCTCCTGCCTCAGCCTCCCGACTAGCTGGGATTACAGGCGCCGGTCACCACGCCCGGCTGGTTTTTGTGTTTCTAGTAGAGACGGGGGTTTCACCATGTTGACCAGCCTGCTCTCGAACTCCTGACCTTAATTGATTCTCCCCCCTCGGCCTCCCAAAGTGCTGGGATTACAGGCGTGAACCACGGCGCCCGGCCTCCCAGGCCCCTCTTTACACGCTTGACGCTCACTACCTTGTGCGGTCTTGCTACTTACACCGGGAGGTAGGAACTGGTATGCCCATTTTGCAGGCAGGGAAACTGAGGCATGGAGTGGGAAACAAACGTAACCCAAAGTCACAGTGGCGTAGCAGGGATTGGGATTTCAGGCTTGGCCTTCTAAGCAGCCCTGTGTGTCCAGGGACTGCCCCAGCTCGCCACAGATCTCCCGGCTTCTGTGTCTCCCCCACCCATGTCAAGATCTCTCCCCACACCAACAGTGTGGACACATTTGGGGCCAGATCATTCTCTGGGTTGGGGCTGTCCTGGGCACTGCAGGGTTCTGAGCAGTATCCCTGGCCTCCATCGAGTTGTGACAACCTAAATAGCCTCAGACCGGGCAGGCACAGTGGCCCACACCTGTAATCCCAGCACTACCGATGCAGGCAGATCAGGAGGTCAGGAGTTCAAGACAAGCCTGACCAATATGGTGAAACCCTGTCTCTACTAAAAATACAAAAATTAGCCAGGTGTGGTGGTAGGCACCTGTAATCCCAGCATTTTGGGAGGCTGAGGCGGGCAGATCACTTAAGTTCAGGAATTTGAGACCAGCCTGGCCAACATGGCAGAGCCCCGTCTCTACCAAAAACACAAAAATCAACCGGGCACGGTGGCACATGCCTGTAGTCCCCAGCCACTGGGGAGTCTGAGGCAGGAGAATCACTTGCACATGAGAGGCCGAGGTTGCAGTGAGCCGAGATCGTGCCACTGCACTCCAGCCTGGATGATAGACCCAGACTTTGTCTCAAAAAAAAAAAAAAAAAAAAAAAGAGCAGACTGGTTCCTGAAGAGCTCACCTGATGCCCTCAGGCTCACCCAGGCTGTTTCCCTCCAGATTGGCTCACAGTCAGCTGGTTCCGGGGCTTTAATCACAGCTGCAGAGTTCCTTGTCTTCGTCACATCAGTTAAGTGCAAGAGTGACGTCTTGTCCCGTCAGAGTCACCCACCCCAGCCCATGCTCCAAGGGAGGGGATTCCGCACCCAACTCTCCAGGGGAGGGGAACCTTGGCTGCACCCACCTGCCTCGGTGCTCACGTCTTGTCTCCTTGAGGGGGGACTCACTGGTCAGGCCAGTGCCAGGCACCTGAACAGCTGCGTCTGACCCCATTGTGTAGGTGATGAGTTTCATTTTGCAGGGGAGGAACTTGAGAGCAGAGAGAGCGAGCCGGGGAGGGGGAGCCCAAGCCTGGGCAGTCAGACCTTCTCTGTAGGCAAAGGCCGGTCGGCAAATACCTTCAGCTTTGCATCCCAGATGGTCTCTGAAACCACTGAGCTATGTGAGGAGAGCAGGAGAGCTGCTGTGGTCAGCGATGGAGCGGCGAGTGTGGTGCTGGGCCCTAGGACTTTCACTACGGGATGGGCAGCTGGCCAGGTTGGCCTGAGGGTCGTGGTTTGCAGACCCTCACCCTGCACCTCTGCACAGGGCTGTCCTGGGTGTGTGCAGAGCAGCCGTGGGCCAGCTCACTAGGCCCTGCCTTGCGGGGAGACAGGCAGGCAGAATGCCCAGGGTGCCTGGTTCCTGGGATTGGGGGATGGTACGGTGGGCAGCACCCTAAGAGGTGTGGGTGGGTTGGTGTCTGGAGGAAGCACCTGAAAGATGGCAGGGGTGAGAAGGAGAGTGGGCGGGCTGGGAAGCCCCTCAGTGAGCGCAAAAGTTCATCGTCAGCAGGGGGAGGCGTCGGCCGGAGGAGCCTGCAGGGGAGGGGTGAGGTGTCCCAGGCAGGGAGGATGGGCTGATCACCAGACACTAGGGAGCAGGATCAGATGGCAGAGGTCACCACCGGGTCAGAGCCCTAACCTAAGGTGGCGAGGCGTGACCTAAAGCAGCCAGGCTCGAGGGGCGGGGCAGGCAGCGTGGAGAGGGAAGCCACAGCGACTGCCTTGACCCCTGAAGCCTGTGTACCCAGGGCTCAGAGCATTTCCGTTGCCTGCTCCCTGCAAGCCCTGAGCAGCGGGGCAGGAGTCTGTTCTTTTATATCCTGTGAAGTCAGTGAGGGGCTCAGCATGGGTCAGGCAGTGCAGCCATCCCCGCCCTCAGAGCAGAGCACTGTCTCCCCTAGAGGAAGCCCTGTCCCCTCCCCAGCCCAGGCACCCACACATCCCCTCCCTGTCTCTGTGGCTTGGTCTGTCCTGGACATTTCATAAAAATGGGATCACACACCGGGCAGCCTCCTGTGCACACACACCTTCTGTTCGTCTCTCACCGAGCGTGGCGTCCTCAGGCGTGCTGCGGCCCGCGTCAGCCTCGCTCCTCTCCTGGCTGGTGGTTCCATCTCGGCATGTGCCACCCCTGTTTTTCGCCTGCTTTTGAGCTGACGATGGTTTTCATGGCTTTTAAATAGTTGGAAAGGGATCAAAAGAAGACTGTCTCAGATGTGGAAATTACATGAAATTCACATTTCAGTGCCTGTGCATAGAGCTGTCTGACCGCGGTCAGCCACACACGGCCTCATCACCGACGCTGCCTATGAGCAGGCAGGCTGAGCCAGCAGCTGCGGCCAGCACCCTGGGCCCACACAGCCACAGGTGTTTGCCATCGGGCCCCCTGCAGACAGGGTCTGCTGTCCATCGGGGGTGTCGCTGTGGAGGCCGCTGTCATCTGCCCCCCCCCCCACCCCGGGAGCCCTCACCTACCCTCAGTCCTCCATCCCTGGAGAGGTTGGCACCACACCTGATCCACGCTGGAGTGGGCCCGGTGCCCGGGATGCATCTCACGCGTTCTCATTTCTCTCCCCTCCGTGGTTTCTCCAAGCCAGTGGAATCCTGAAGGGCTTCGACCCACTCCTCAACCTCGTGCTGGACGGCACCATCGAGTACATGCGAGGTGAGGAGGGCAGCGAGGCGAGGGGGGCGGCGAGGCAAGCGGGGCGGCGAGGCGAGGGCTGGCCGTGGGGCTGCCCGCTGGCTCCTCCTCTCTCAGACCCACAAAACCTTACTCTGAGTTACCGACATGAAGCCCCGTGGCAGCTGGAGGACGGGCTTGGGCACTTACCGTTCCTAGGCATTTTCACAAGGCTAGAAACTCCATCATCCTGGGGCGCAGAGACGGGGGAGCTGGGGAGTGGAAGCAGCTGGGGCTCCCGGTGCACGCCACCACACCTGGCTAACTTTGTATATTTTTAGCAGAGACGAGGTTTCCCATGTTGGCCAGGCTGGTCTCAAATACCTGGCCTCAAGGGATCCTCCTGCCTCGGCCTGCCAAAGTGCTGGGATGACGGGCATGAGCCACCGTTCCTGGCCCCTCACCTCACCTCTAACAAGATTAAAATAAAAAATTTCACTGTGGCGGGCACCCTTTAAGTGCCCAGTCAGCGTACAGACACCAGTGGGTGAGCTGGTCTCTAAAAAAGATTTGAAAAACCTGGGGCCATGGTTGTCCCCTGCCCCTCCACCGCATGACCACAGAAGTGAGGCGCTGTCATCACCTCTGGCCTCCTGAGAGCCTGTCTTGGGCTTGCTGGCACTTCCCTAGGGTCCCCATCCCATATCAACAGCCTTTCTTTCTTTCTTCCTTTTTGGGGATGGAGTCTCGCTCTGTTGGCCAGGCCGGAGTGCAGTGGTTCGATCTCGGCTCACTGCAACCCCTGCCTCCTGGGTTTAGGTGATTCTCCTGCCTCAGACTCCTCAGTAGCTGGGACTAAAGGCGTGCACCACCACACCCAGCTAATTTTTGTATTTTTGAGACAGGGGTTTCACCATGTTGGCCAGGATGGTCTCGATCTCTTAACCTCATGATCCAGCCTCCCAAAGTGCTGGGATTGCAGGCATGAGCCACCGCACCCAGCCCAGTCTCTTTCTTATAGGGTGAATGTTGGTCCTCCTAGGGCTCCAGGGACCTTGCAGAGATCAGGAGGCCTGCGATGCTGTATTCTGGCCGCCTGTCTAATAACTTGGTCTCTGGCCCTGGTGCCTGAACCCCAGTGAGCTCCAAGACCCAGGGTAGCCGGCCGTCCCCAGGGCCTCCCTGTGCTCGCAGCTTGGG